AGTACTTCGCCGTTAATGAAATTTTATTAACTGCGGAATATTCGCCCTAAAATGAATTTAATATAGCACGAGTAATTCGCCGTTAATGAAATTTTATTAACTGCGAAAAACCGCTCAAGAGTAAAAATCATAAAGAGCGAGTAATTCGCCGTTAATGAAATTTTATTAACTGCGAAAAATTTGCTCCATTATATTATCGAAAGTGATTAATTCACCGTTAACAAAATGTTATTAACTGCGAAATATTCCCTTGGTATATAATGAAAATTGGATTATATTAAGAATTATACTGATAAAACTATTGGCAAAATTTTATTGAACTTCTATGGATAAAATTAAATACAAAATTTGTAATTATATATATTCCCTACGTGATCGTATTTTAATAAAGAAAAAAGTATTGTTTCACTGAAAAGAAAATGGGTCAACAAATTCAGCTGCATTTCTTTACTGTGAGGACTGAACGTAACAAACTACATAAAACGTGGGACTGACAGTTGACAATTTTTGTGACAGCCGTAATTTGAACGGAGTGATTTCTTTAAGTTAACGCAGGTTACATGATAACTTAGAAATCGAGTGTTCTAATTTTTTCCATCATAAGCTTTTAAAGCTGTGTAATTTCTCGTGATCAACAGGAGTTCGAGTTTTGAAATTTCTGGGTAAACTTACATCACGCGCGCTTTTCATGAGACTTGCATGACACTGTTTTAATACGTTTCTACAGCATATTAAATCTGAAAAATACCGCCAGTTTGGCTTTTTCCTCGAGTTCTTAAATTCCATTCACTGGTTTCAGTTCGCCGACGATGCCGCTGTCATAAGCGGTCAAGAATCAGAAAATCAACACCTTTGGCTACCGGCCAAAGGTCCTTTGCCTGTAGAGCAGTGTCTCTGTGGAACATTTTAGACGAAGACCTGAGAAACGATCTGTAAAGGCCTTTAAGAAAGTCCTGAAACTTGCCAGGAACGAATGATCGAGTGACAGTTAGAATTTAGAATTTAACAATAGCTTGTCAGATATAGTTAACATTTATATTTGTAAATAGGTACAGAAAAACCTTTTTTGGGGAGTAGTTATCATTAAAGTTTAATATTTTAAAGTTTAAGTTCATATTATGGTGTAATTGGTCGAACATGACGATCAGAATTGACAAATGTTCTACTTTTGGAATACGGAAACTGTGCACTAAATCTGTCCAATATTTACCCAAGCTGTTGATCAATGGAGTTCTAATTCCCTGTGTGGAAATGGGTGAATCATTTCATTACTTAGGTCGCTTCTTTGACTTCAAAATGTCTAATAACCAACAGAAATCTGAATTGTCTTCTNGAAGTTGTCATGGCATTTCACCATAGCAAATATATCCAAAACCTGGATAACGCAACATCTCGACTCTGTAGTGAATGGCTACATCCGAAAATGGCTTGATATTCCGATATCTGGAACACTGAGCAATGTTTTCCTAGAAAGCAATAAATTTGGTCTTAATATTTGTCCTCCCTCTATCAAATTTACTCAGTGCCAGTCAGTTCTCCGAAATTCATTAAAAGAGTCCCCAAATGATTCCTTGAAAGCTCTCTGGAAATCGTCAAGCTGTCACACTAATATTCAATATGATGTGTACAAATCCACTAAGGAAGTTCTTAAGGATTTCCGTTCTAATCAAGAGAATAAACTGCAACACCACCTGACATCTCAAGGTTTCTTCTTCTCAAATGTTATCAAGTATTCATTGTCATCTGTTAATTCTATTTGGTCAGTGGCCCAGTCTCATCTACCGAAGAACATTTACAACTTTACCATCCGCTACATCAACAACTCTCTTAGTCCTACACGTAAGAATTTGGTAAGATGGGGATTATCACAAAGTCCTGATTGTTCCTTTTGCCTTAATCCTGAGTCACTCCTTCATATTGTCGCTGGTTGTCAACAATGCCTTGATCGCTTTACTTGGAGACACGACTCAATTCTTAACTCCATTGCCAAGTCCCTTCAACCTGAAATTAATGTTAGCTCCTCAATCTATATATATATGCAGATGTTACTGGTTTTCTAAATCCCTCAATAGTAACTGGTGAAAATTAGCGCCCAGATCTTCTTTTCCGGACCCAGTCGAAGTGCCTATATGTTGTAGAATTAACAGTTGGTTTCGAATCTAACTTGTACAGCAATGCAGTACGTAAAAAAGAAAAATATCGGAACTTGATTAACGAAATGAGTAGAACTTTCATATGTGTGAAATTTGTAAATCTCTCCGTGAGCTCCCTTGGCGTTTTCTCAGATGAATGCTCTACGTTCTTAGGCATGATGAATGACATGGACATTGCCAAAAAGCAGCAACTTTACATAATCAAGAAAATGATAAATATAGCTATTAGAGCAACATATTACGTCTTTTGTTGTAGAAATAGGAATTGGGACAACTCAGATTTGATGCAATTTTGATTTTTGTGTGTG